GGCACTTTTCATATCAAAGCTTGACAAGTGCACAATTTCATTACATGAGTGCGGTGAAACTTGATCCTGGGACCTTTGGCTCCTCTCATACCATGTTGAACTTGATCTAAAAGATTGAGCTTTTAGATATTGTTAGAAAGGGCCACGTATACCATTTAAATATTTCTTCAACATAAAATACTAGTAATTCAAGTCGATTTTCAATGTTTATATGCAGGTTAGAGGTTATTCAACGACTTGCTCATATAACACCAGCTGAGTTGGGGGGAAGGGCTCATCAGTCACAGGATACAGACAATAAGCTGGAGCAATGGCTCATGTATGCAATGTTTGGGTGCTCATGTCCACTTTCGGGCCGAGAAGGTGGAGGCTCACCAGCTACAAAAGAACTATTCCATCTGATTTTTCCTTCCCTCAAGTCTGGTTCCGAAGCACATGTAGTAAGTAATTGCTTCCTGTCAACAATCCTTAAACGTCACTCTAGATCTATTATTTAATTGCATAATTTTGCCAGTTTTTGTAAATCTGCATACTAAAATTGGTATCTCGGAAGAGGGCATTATATCATGTTACATCATATATATTATTACATTTATAAATATATAAACTCATGAGCGTTGCTGCTTGTTCACACCAATTTTATTTTCTTCAAGAAGAAAAGCTGCATTACATGGAAAGGATTATGTGTACCTCTAAAATTCTGGAGGATGTCTTGTAATTGATAGTTGCCTACATGTTTGAATTAACAATAACAGCGCTGATTTGTAAAAGAAGCACAATAGACTGGACATCATGGTCAGAACAGACAACCATAACAAAAAATTTAGCCAGAAAGTGCTTGTTTGGATTTACTTATAAGTACATTATTATTTAAAGGTCAAAGTCAAACCTTATTTTTAAACACACATTCCATAGGACACACAACTATTACCCACTTATTCACCACTCATTTCTATCATATTATAATTTCAGCAACTAATAAGTAAATCCAGACAAGCACTAAATATGGGGCTGGTTACAGGGATCTTTTTTTGCCACTCTTGTCAGTCCTTCACTGCATCTACTGGATATGCAATGCAATCACACCCTGCACAACCACATCATGCCATATTAATTTTAGTCTACCTTTCCGTCTTGTATTTGGTTCTACTAATGTATTTGGTTCTATTAGTAGCATCATGTTCATGAACTACAGCTTCATCAAGTTTACATAAGACATGCCCTAACCGATAAATTCTTCTTACCTGAATTTATGCTCAGTCACGTCTACTTAGTTTTTCTTTTAATTTTGGGTCATGACTCATGAGTGTAGAATTGGCTGGATATTTTCCCTAGTCACTATATATATTTGAAAATAAATTGATGGTTTCCTAGACTCTTTATTTTCCTTTTTCTTTTTAATGTTATGAAGCTGGTGTAGCAGCCTAGTACATGCTGAATTTTCTTACCTAGCTGTGGCAAATGGGTCCCATGGCTGTATCCATATAGCTAACAGTTTCTCAATCATGAATCTAGTGTGTTATGCTGGCTGAAAATTTCAAATGAGCCTGTATAGTGATTTACATGTGCCTCACTTAAAAACTGTGTAAGGTTGCATTAGGTATGCTTTGCATTTTCTGCTCAGAATGAGTTTTTCTTTTGTTAGACGCTTATTCTTCATTCATGCTCCCACCAAAATAAACGTGAGAAAGAAAAAAAGATAACAAGTCATCTGTTATTTTCCTTATATTTTTCATTTTTATTTTGTTTTTTTCTTTCCAGCATGCAGCCACCATGGCGCTTGGTCACTCACATCTAGAAATATGTGAAGTTATGTTCAGCGAGCTTTCGTCCTTTATAGATGAGGTTTCTCTCGAAGCAGAAGGAAAGCCAAAGTGGAAGGTAAACTGCATGACGAAACTCCATAGAAAATATACTTCCCTCTTCGTTGCAT